TGTACTATAAACCATTACCCAAGATAAAGTGTAGGTATCTAGTAAAGCACAGTGGCAAGAGAAATTGCATTTTTCCTCCATTTATATAAATTGTTGTATCCCTTGATAATTTTATGCCCCTATTATGATAAAAGAACAAATTTTACCTTTTTGCAGATACTATGACTGAACCTATGAAAAATTTAGACAATATAGTATTGAGTATTTGAACTATGCCTTGTTCAGTTTGCCAAAATGTTTTATCAAAGGAAGCTATATAGCCTTCAAGACTGCAAGAACATTTGGCCAAAGTTCATACTTATAAGAAAGATAAGGATTGTGGTAGCAGTGGTGTAATTCTGCTTCATGTGATTGAACTATGGAATGATGTGTATTAATAAATTAATAATAAATTAAAAAGGGATAAGGATTCATCTTATTTTCAAGCGCTTAATATTTCTTGAGACAGCATTGACAACACCACGTTCTCCAATAGCATTCAGACACCATTGAGGATGGCTTGCATGATTTTCATTTGTTAATGATTCTGAGTTGAGAAAACTACGTTATGGGTAAAGAGCCAAAATCTGCTGTAGGATACAGGTAGAACTACAGATACAAAGTTGTCCATGCATCTTCCTGTTTGTTCGCTTTTTAAAGAATAGATTTCTAAAGGGGTACTGGGTAATTTTTTTTAAGGGGGATTATGCCTAATAAGTTGTGGAACCTCTGGCCTAAAGGCTCAAAAGCTTGCCCCCCAAAAGACACGATTAGTGTCTGCCCATGGGAAGAAGAAGAATAAACATTTTCAAAACCAAACTCCCATCAAGTAGATTTTGATTCATAGTTTTGACCATATGGGACAGGGTAGAATTGCCCCTGGAATAGACTAACTGTGCAGGAGTAGAAAGCTTAATCTTTTTCCTGTGGAGTGTCTTGCAAACTGCCTACCTTGCAATTAGAAGCCCAAGATGGCCACTTTGCCACCTGGGCTCCTAAACATGTAACAGAGGTTGGTTCTGATTCATCGACCTCTGGCTTATGGGCCCAGAACTATTTGGTTCCTGGCTATCATTACTGAACATTTTGATGAAAGAGTCTACAGCAGAGTCGTGTTCAAAGGGAGAGGAAGTGGGACAGCATTTTAACTTCTCATAGAATCCAGACTTGATGGAGCAATGGCAGTTAGATGACCCCCTAGAAATAACCACCCCAAGATCATCTTTACACCAGCAATATCCTCTGATAGTCAATAGTAAAGGGTGCCTGCCAGTGGGGGAGGACAGTGGGAACTTACCACCATGCTGGACATACAGCCCCGGCCCCCACCCCAGGGTGATGAGCAATAGAAACATGGGTGAAGGGAGACAGCGGATGGCATAGGATATGAAAATTTATCAAGGGTTGGGGAGGAAGGGAAAAAAATGAGCTGATACCAAAGGCTCAAGTAGAAAAATGTTTTGAAAAGGATGATAGCAACATGTGTACAAATGTGCTCAACACAATGGATGTAGGAATTGTAAGAGCCCCCAATAAAATAATTTTTTAAATGCCTGCCTTGAGCATTATGCTCATTTAAGAGGTATCTGTATGGGATCACATTGACAACAGCAACTGAAAAGATTAGATGGGAGCCTTAGGAGGCTGTGGGTTGGTTTATAGGAAAGTAACAACTCAGTGTGAGAATGGATAATGCCACTGAATTGTACATGTAGAAACTTGAATTGCTGGATGCAGGATAATAGATGGGGTCAGGTACATGTGAGGTCTCTACCTACAAGAACAGAGCAAAAAGAGCCAGGAATGGCAAGAGGAAATGGAATGTGTGTGCTTACTGAATATTGTGATTAAAAATTTCTATAGAAGAATCCTGATTAAAAAGGCCAGTGGGACAGCTAGAGGGACCGAATAGAATTTTGAAGACATGCTTTTTAACAATAAAAGGAAAAAGACACCTAAACCTTTAACATTTAGTGCTGTTGTCAAGTCAGTTCTGACTCCTGATGACCTCTTGTGTACCAAGTGGAGCTCTTCTGTAGGATTTTTAAAGATGCGCCCTTCCCCTAAGCAAATCACCAGCCTGTCTTGATGAGTTTCCTTTGGGTGGTTTTGAACTGGCACCTGTAGTATAGAGCTATACCATTTGCACTGCACATTAGGAAAACCAAACCCACTGCCATCGATTTACTTCCAACTAGGAATGACCCTTAAGGATTTCTGAGACCATAAATCTTCACGAGAGCAGACAGGCTCACCTTTCTCCCTTGGAGTGGCTGATGGGTTTGACCTGCCTACCCTACGGCTAGCAGAAATGTTTGCAGAAGGAGGACAAGAAAGAGCTTTGGAGAATGAGTAGCATTAACTAAGGAAGAGAGGTAGAGTTTAGGGAATTACGTTTCCTGTGCCTCGTGAACATCAAAATGTTGACAGACCATGACTCCTAAAAACAGATTCTCTGTGACGGGCTATCAGATAACAAGAAGCAGGTGTAGTCCAAGATGAGGCTGAAAAGGTTTGACATGAGCTGGATGCTGGAAGCCCCTATGAGAATTTGACTCAAATGAGCAGAGAACACAGCCAGATGTGTGCAGAGTGGGAAACAGGCAGTTTGAAGAAGAGCAAGGTTGGAGTTCAAGAGAACTAAGAAGGTCTTGACAGTACAGTCGCTTGTGGATTAAACCTCTGACCATTGGCCTGGCCATTGGAGGAGGGGGTACATTGGAAAGATGAATGCAGATGTCAAAAACCAAACCAAACACTGCCATCAAGTCAATGCTGATTCCATGACACACACACACACACACCTGTGGGTTTCGGAGACTAACTTTACAGGAGTAGAAAGCCCAGTGTTTCCCCAAGGAGCTGCTGGTAGTTTCGAACTGCCAACCATGTAACCACTACACCACTAGGCATCCTTGAATGAAGATATAGCTAGGTTACAATTCAACCCTTTATTTTCCCTTTTGATGCATTTTGAATTTGTTCTCTCATTTCTGCTTTCTCTGGGATTGAAGGTTGTGTGTGGTATGATTTTATATGAATACAGGAGGGAAATAATGAGGTAATAATGAGCACACAAATGAAGAAAATGTTCTAAAGTTGATTATGGTGATTGCACAATTCTTTTTAATTAAGCCATTGGATTATATAACGTGAGTTAAGTGTCAATAAAAGTGTTAATTTTTTTAAGATTTAAAAAGAGGTCTTGGTCTAGGATAGGAGTCCTGGTGGTGCTGTGGATACAGCATACAGTTGCTACTCAAAGGGCAGCGGGAACCTACCAGCGCATCATGGAACAGTGGTCGCAAGGTGCGATGTTCCAGCCACACGCAGCTCCTTCAGTATGTACATGTTCCTCAGAGTAAAATGGAAACTGAAAAGAAGTTTCACTTACTACATTTTTAAAAGGTATTATTCAGAGAATGAAGATTTCATTTGTTTTTCAGCCCTGCTAAACTCCAAGACACTAAAGCCAGCTCCACACCTTGCGTTTTAGCAGATCCTGCTTAAGGAGCTGAACGAAGGATGTGAGTATAACATTGTTTTATAAATTTACAGGGAGGATGAAGGGGGAGGGGGGCGGATGGTTGAGCACAAGGTAAGCAGAACAGCCCAGCAAAGTAATAAGTGAGCACAGGGCGCCCTCTACCAGGCAAGGTAACTGGTAACCAGGAAATGTGAAAGTAGGGATGCCAGTGGAGGCTCCAGTAGTTGGCTTTCATGAAGTTTGTGTAAGTTGTGCAAATGTGGTCTGTGTTGCTTTACTGTTTCTACAACTTACAATTAGTATCTCTTTTGGCTGGGTGCATCCAGAAACTAATCTTCGCATCCAAGTTGACTACAAGCTAAAAGGTATTGTTGATGATGGAACCCTGGCAATGATTACACAGGCAATTATTATAAATATGTAAATAAAATTAATGCTTGTTTTATTATATTTAGATACGCAGGTGGTTGAGATTTACTGCAGCGTATTTTATTTCATGTGCAATTGTAACAATAAAACATGTTACTGGAGAGATTTATTTCTAGTATATTTTCAATTGTTAATAATTATTTTGAATAAATATTTAGTTCATTTTATTTCTTTTAAAATACTGTGTCTTTGTAACGTGTTAAATAAAATATTTTGTTTAAGGTACTTTTCAACATGGCTACGAAGAAAAAAATTAGGAAGACCGTTGATGGTCACCACGGCTTTAAAACGGAGTGGACTGAGTCTTTCACACTTATCTCCCACTCGGATGGACTCCAGCCTGTCTTACTTGCCAAGAAAAATTGGCGCACAACAAAAAGTCAAGTTTGGAAAGACACTTCATGCCCAAAAACGGCACGTTTGCCATGAAATATCCTGTCGGTGACACTAGAAAGAGAGCAGTGGAAGAACTTGAAAAAAATGTTGAGAAATCAAGTTCTGTACTTAATCATGGGAGACACACTGCCAATAATGTGACTCTTGCAAGCTTCGTAGTAAGCCAGGAGATTGCTAAGAGAAGAAAGCCATTCACAGATAGAGAATACGTAAAATGTTATTTTATTAATGCATCTGAAGAACTTTTTCAGGATTTCAAGAACAGAGCAGAGATTTTAAATAAAATTAAAAGCATGCCGTTATCTGCCAAAACAGTAGCAGATAGGATGGTTAAATGTCCTCAACTTGACCAACCAACAAGTCGAAGACATTAAATTAGCTTCAGCCTTATAGTTGCGGTCAATGAGTCACGTGACATCAAGGACACAGCCCAGGTTCCCTTTTCCTGCTGTATAGGTCACCTGAGGGCCCACGAGAAGAACTTTTCGGGTTGTTCACACTCAAAGGTCAAATGTATGGAGAGGATATAGCAAATGCCGTCCTTGAATGCATGGGAAAAAGTCATATCCCACTCAACAAAATAGTTTCAATTGCAACCAATGGTGCAAAGAGTATGATGGGTGCGAGAAATGGTTTTGTGTCTGTTTTTAAAAGGAAAAATTAATCATGAAGTGATTACTTTCCATTGTGTGCTCCCCCAGGAAGCACTTTGTGAACAAACATTTCCCAAAGAAATTGGTAAAATCATAGTCATTAAGTCAATGACATAAAAAGTCATTAAGATTTCCAACATCATTAGAGCAAAGGGGCTTGAGCATCAGCAATTTAAAGTGTTGCTACATGAAGTGGAGAGTGGGTATTCAGACTTCCAGTACAACAGGGCTCGACGGCTTTCCAGTGGCGATATGTTAGGGTTTCTCATCTTGCATAAATGAAATCAAACTATTTCTCGACAACAAGGGTGTTCAATATCCAGAATTAACAGAAGATCTCTGGTTGCAAAAATTGTACTTTATGGTAGATGTTACATCACAACTAAATCAGCTCAATCGTAATTACAAGGCAGAGGAAATACTGCTTTTTCAATGCTAGAGGAAGTTGCTTCTTTTGAAAAGAAATAGATGCTGTTCGCTGAAGATTTAGAGAGTGGAACTTTAATTCATTCCCTGAGTTAGTTAATTGTGCCAGCCTGGCCGATAATCACATGTGGGGCTAATTGAAAGACGGAGGGATAAATGGGTGGTGAGCCTCGCCTTTCGAGTTCTCAGGTCTCTTGCTTTGTGTTGGTCGAACCAGGGTGCAGCTGCCTTAGCAGTTTCCTGCTTCAGCTTGCAAGATGGACTTCCTACAAGACATCCCCAAGGAGAAGCCACATGGACCTATCCCGATGCAGCCCTGGGTGCTGGAGCAGCCGTGTGGAGACCCCTGCTAGTGCTGAGATGCTTATTCGTTCACTGACTCAGCTTTCCTCCTGCAGTCGGCATCATTGCCTCTGTTGTGTGAGGTGGAGGACTTTGTGGACTGGTGTTGGGTTAATGTTAATGTTGGACTTGTGGGCTTGGGCAGCATTGGGTTGGGATGTTTTCGTGATGCACACTTTCTTTACATAAAACTCTCTTATAAATGAGTTGCTGTGGATTTGTTTCTCCAAAGTACCTAGACTAATACATTCCCCAAACTTGTCTCAGTATCACCAAGAAAACAATGCCCTCATTAGCAAAGATTATTTCAAGACAGCAGTTTTAGACATGAGAGAATCTTTTCCTCAAAGATTTCAGGAATTCAGAAGTGAGAAAGCAAGCAACTCTGGCTTTTATTACAAATCCTCTTAATGCCAATGTGAAGGAATTACATTTTTCTCCATTTGATATTGACATGGCGCATTTTAAAATACAGTTGCTGGACTTGACAAGCAAAGACATGGAGTTCCAAATTTATACGTCCTAGTACCGAAATGAAGAATTGGACAGAGAAAAATGCTGTCTGATTTCACAGCGCAAGCAGACTGACGTAATAGAACTACAGAAGACAGACTCACTCTCAGTTTCTCTGCCATCCTGAGTGTGTGTTGCTCCGACTTCACCATGTCGTCTCATAAGACTTTCAGGATCAAGAGCTTCCTGGCCAAGAAACAAGCAGAATCGGCCCATTCCCCAATGGATTCGAATGAAAACCGGTAATAAAATCAGGTACAACTCCAAGAGAAGACATTGGAGAAGAACCAAGCTGGGTCTGTAAGGACCCCCCTGAGGGATGGCACGCATGACCGCATTTTCCCAGTCTCAAATCATGTTGTGTTGCATTAAGACTTTTGTCCCCATCTGATCAATTGAACTTTTATTGGCAAATCTGATTTATTCCTTGTTTTTTTGCTTCCTCATCAAGTCTAACAATAAATAATGTAAGGCTGTTGGTTTGAAGAAGACAGACTCAATGATTTTCAATACTTGGAATAATCTCCCGGAGTCATATTCTGAGTTGACAAAATTTGCACTTGGTGTTATCAGTATCTTTGGGTCTACATATTTATGTGAGCAATTGTTTTCTAACAAGAATTCCATTAAGTGTAAATTGAGTCACCAAATTACCGATGCCAACTTGGAATCATGCTTTAAATTAAAAATGACTATAAACCAGACATCGAGAAGCTTTCTCAGGAAATGCATGCTCATTGTTCACACTGAGTGAAACAATACGAGCAGTTGTTTTCTGTGAATTTTTCTTATTTTAGTAAAGATACCATTAATACTATTGTTATACTATTACTTTTGATTTTCATTATTTGTAAAGATATAGTTATGGCTCTTGAATAATTTTTAGATTGTTGTGCCTGCCCCGGCCATAGGAGAAAGATCTGTCGGTCTGCTTTTGTGAAGATTACAGTCTTAGAAACACTATGAAGCAGTTCTGTTCTGTCTTACAGGGTCAACTCCGTGACAAAGGTGGTGTGAGACAGTAGCCATAGAAATCCCACTCCTAGAAGGTAGAACCCAGTGAACGAGGTGGAAGCACAAAGAGCTGATGAGGGGAGTTCAGATGGCTGTTGGAGCAGCAGTGACAGGTGAGAGAGGACTTGGAGGAGGAGGTGGAAAGGAGCATTTTGGATGCGCTGGATCAGAGGTGCCTTTGTGTTATCCAGAGGAGTCTGGGGGCACTGGTTATGGGGTCAGCACTTGAAACCCACCAGCCCCTCCTGTGGAGATTGACAGTCCCCGAAGCCATAGGGAGGGTCTCTGTGAGTCAGCATAGACTGGACGGCAGTGAGTTATCGAAGTGCAATGTACAACTGATGTACAGGTAAGATGTAGTCGATTAATATGGCCTGTCTAGCCACAGTTCCTTATGTGATGTACTGTTAGAATTGTGGACTCTGTGCCTGTGGCTACAATGCCTACTTTGGAGGGAGTTCTCTGCTGTACTAATCAATTAAGGAGTAATTAAGTCCTAACCTTAGTAGAGGGTGTGAATCATGTCACACTCTTTCCTTGGGCCTATCTTTAAGACTACCAGAAGGTGTGATTTAAGACATCATCCTTCATTTTCCCTAGGAGTATGATCTGCTGAAAGACAAATACCACACCTCCATCAAAACCATTCTTCCATGTATAAGAGCCTTTTCAGACACAGAAAAAACACAGGACCATTGGAAGAGCACATTCCAGATCTCTCATCTGACGTGGAGGCCAAGACCAGAGAGTGATATGGAACCGGATAGAGTGAGAGGAGCAGCACTGAAACTGGGACTGTCACGCGAACGACAGCTGGCCGCCTGGCCCATGGAGTCAAAGATCAAGGGCTGAGACCACATGGCTGAGGCCCTGAAGGCCAGAGAGACGTGACTGCTGACAAGGAGAGGTGTGGCTACGAACCAACAACTGTCCTTACAGTTTGCTACCCTGACGTGTGGTAACTTATTAACTTCCCTAGTAACCCTTCATTGTGAACATTGTGAGTTCTGTGTGGCCACTGTATGAACTCTCGACCCATATAGAAGTAGAGTGCACAGGAGGAGGAATGGCTGATGTCAGAATAAAGTAAGAAAAATGATGGAGGGTGAAGGCATGTTGCCTCCTGGCAACAGGGAAGCCAGGAGAGGTCAGATACAGCACCCACTCCGTTTACTCTTAATAGGTCTACAGCGTGGAGCAGGGAGTTCTCAGCACTTTTATGATCGGTGAAGCCTTGGAAGTGGAGTGATCCCCCGGGAAATCCTGTGAGTGTGAGGTGAGGACTTAGGGCTGAGGAACACCAGCTTCTAAGGAAACACAGAAGAGGAGACTGGAGTGAGGGAAACGGCAACAGCCAGAGTAAATGGGGTAGGAGTGACGAGGTTCCCCTGGGGTGAGTGACCTGAAAGTAGGCACCGTGGAGGCACACACAGAAACTAGTCTGGCACGTGCCCGAGTGTTAGTAACAGGTTCCCGGATAGCGCAGAGTTGAAAGCACTGCACTGCAAGCCAAAAGGCCCGCAGCTGGAACCCACCAGTCTTTCCGTGAGGACTGCCACCTGGGAACCCTCGGGACCAGTTCCGCTCCGTCCGTAGGGCATCCACTCAGCCAACAGTGGGCTGGTTTGGTGGGCTCGTGATGGTTGCCACCTGAGGAAGCAGGGGCTGGGGGTGGGTGAAAAATGGAGAAAATAATCACAAGAGCTCACATGAATCTCCAAGTCACATGCCGTGCCAGAGCAGCAGACTCCGTCTGTGTGGTATGATTGCATTTACGTCAGCTACCAGAACACAGCAGCCTAACTTAGGGTGGCAGCAAGCACAGCCCACAGTGCTGGCCTGGGGCCACCTGTGGGGAAGGAGCTATTCACTACAACTGAGCGCAAGAGAAATTTTGTGGGAGATAGGAACACTCTATGACTTTGTTAGATACTACTGAGTCAGCTCTGACTCAGAGCCATCCCGTGTACAACAGAACAAACACTGCCCAGACCTGCACCATTCTCAGTTGTGTTTGAACCCACTGTTGCAGCCAGTGTTCGTGCGCGCGCATACACACCTCTTTCCTAAGTCAACTACCTTTATGACTGCACTGGGGTAGTTATTAAAACAAGTGTTCAAATTCACTGAATTGCTTTCTTAAACTCGACATATTTAGTGTATGCCTATTGTATCTCAGTACCACTTTACATGGTTTTGAAATGTAGGGAAAAATAGAATTTATTGGGTAGAACTCATTAGGTCTGTGAAGGAGGAAGCAAAAGCAGTAGCTGAGAAGGCCGGTCCTCCCCAGGGACCGATTTGAATGCTAACAGCAGGGCTGCTGTGAAGGGAAGCCGGTGGAGGGGAAAGGCTGCCTAGAGCCTTACTACCCAAACTCTGGACTCCCAGTTTCAGGACCTTCCCAGTATAGACAGCATAGGCCTTTTATGCAGTATGTGTTCTACAATCAATTCCAACATTAAGTTCAGCTGACTCTTGATCATGTAACTATTCATAGGCTATGCAGATTGAAACTAGCCTGAATGAATTATTAAACCCTAAGAAATAACTTGTCTTTACTTTTGAAGCCTGTGGGCTTAGAGAAGGGAGAAGGGTAAAATGAACAGTGGAATGAGAGTAAAGGAAAAAGGTAACAGCTACAAACCTTCCTTCCAGCACGTTACACACACGTCATTCTCATTTATTACAGCCACCGAGGGAGGTCGGAATCCCCATTCTACAGGAGAGAGAGCAAGCCCAAGGCCAGCGAGCCTGCCCAAGACGACACGGCTGTTCAGCGGGAGCTGGGCTCAGGCCAGGCAGTATGACTCCAGAGCCGTGTTACTTTTTACCATGAAGAAACCAACCTGCCCGAATCCTTTTTCGCTTTCTTGATTCTTACCAAAGTGTAAACCATTTTCAGACAATATACGCAAGCACATGAAATAGAGCAAGGAATGGGAAATCGTGCTAAGCATTCCTACCTGTTAAATAAATGCGTGTTTGACCTCTTAGTACTATTGTTTTCATGTTTATCTTATATGAGAGTGCTTTGAAATACTTCATGAATAGTTCTCTTGTTCAGTCAATGCACCTGCCAGTAAGTAGAGTTTACTGACCCAAACATTCAAAACCAGTTATTGAATGTGTGTGAGGAAGAAATTACATTGGAAGTTGATTTGGAAACTAAAAGCTGAGGGACGTGTGGCACGGGGGAAGAAATTTTAAGACATGCCTACAGTTGCCACTGACCTATGCCTTGAAGGGGGCTCAGAACACATGGTGAACTCAAGCCATCAGACACCAGGGGATGGTTTCAGAAACTTGTTGGTAGCTCTGCCAAAAGATGACCGATGCTTGAACCAGGGCGAGGCATCTGAGGCCTGGAGCTACTGATGTGGGAACTGGAGACTGGATGAGGAGGAAAGAGCACAGTGTGAAGGCCCAGCCCTTTCCATGGTCGGCCAAGTGCATGGCAGCCATTGGCCCAGATGAGAGTGTGAGAGGAAGAGCAATTTGACAGGGCGAATAGGAGGTTACTGGAGCTATGTCCCATCACCACCACCCAGCAGACTGAAACTTGCTGGGGCCAGTTCATGCCAGGCCCGAGAGTGCCAGCATCTCAGATTCACCTGCAATCAGCCCTGGAGAAATAGTGTGGGGCCCAGCTGCCACAGGCAGAGGTCCCCATGCCTCCTCCTTCCATCCTTTATGCCATTTTGACAAGGATGGTCTCCCCACCCCCCAGCACTCATGTCTCTACTGGTTTCAGTTATTTGTTACTATGGCCACAGAGAAATCAAGACAATACTCATGATTCATTAGAAAAGCTATGAGGTTACAAATGGTAAGGATGCAATCCTTTTGTTCCGTTTTCTCAGCCATGCTGACTTGGCATGCCCCTCTAGCCCTCATCCTCTTAGCCATGTGCACCTGGGCCTCTGCCTCCATGGGCCTGGAAGCTTGCCCACCACGCTCTGCCTCATGGTGTCAGCGCTGCTCTTCTGTTATCTCAAGACCTCTGTTGTCTGTTACCTCCACCATTCCAGACCGGGATCTCAAATTGACACCCGATAGCTTTTCTTGATGGTCATGAGACAGTCTTGTTCTCTCTCTCTCTTCTGCTCCCTCCTTCCTTTCCCCTCCCTCTGAGATGGCTTACGCTAGTACTCAGATGGCAGAAAGGACCAATCCTAGAGCTAATATTTGTAACAGACTGAAGTGGGTGGTGTCTGATGGCCTCTAACTTCACAAGAGGAGGGATGGGAAGCGCCATCCCCATCACTCACGGCCGAGCTGATTTCCATGAGGCTGAGATCAGGCATACCTCCAGCCCTCCCTCCCAAGGTACTCTACCGCTCAACTGAGTCTAAAATTCTGTGCAAGGCCAAGCCAATTTCTACTTTGTGCAGACAAGACCTCTCTGATCCTCAGCCTGGCCCCCTTGTGCTCCAAAACCAAACACTGCCATGAGTCTAGGCTGACTCACACCAACCCCCTGTGGGCTTCTGAGACTGCTAACTATAAGAGTAAAAAGCTAGCTTTCTCCTGCAGAAATGCTAGTGGTTTCAAACTGCTGACCATGCAGATTGCAGCCAAACATATAACCACACACCCCCACACCACCGGGACTCCTGCCTCTGTCCTATGAACAATATTAAAAAGCTCTGCTTAGGGTTGCCAATAAATACCCAAACCATGCCACTGCACCAAAAGTCTCAACCCAAAGTGCTCAGCTCTAAACGGTTCAGCAACACCTACCTACCCCATTAATTGCCCAGTCACCTCACTCTACCTGCCAACCTGGCCCAAAGCTTTGCTTTGCTCTGTGGACTGTGTCATGCTCTCGTTCTGCTACCACTCCCCTGGTGTCACCCACAGCTGTCTCCTGGATCAAGGAGGTTCAATATGCAGGCATCTCAGGGTCCAAAAGACTTGCTCCTCTCCTGGCTCTTTTCAATGGGAGTGAGATTACCCCTGCTTCTGAGATGGTTGGAACCATGTCATCAAATTAGTATGTTCCCCAACTTCTTGCCCTCAGCCATCTGGGAGATGAAGGTCATTGGGTAGGTGTCGGAAGGCAATGGCTAGCAGAGCATGTTACACAGGCACTGATGGCAGTCTCATCACTTCCTCCAGCAGTGTCTCCCCGCTCCCCCCCCCCCACTAACCATCAAAGTCTGCTACTTTGGGTGTAAAAATGTTTTTTTTTAATTTATTTTATAGCAGTGATCTCATATAGTATTCATCTTTGAGACTGACCAGTTTTGCTGAGCACCATGTTTTCCTGCTCTGCCTGTCCTGGAGGTGGCTGAGCTTCATCACTGTTCTTAGGGATGCATGGTGTTCCACTGAATCCCTGTACCATCATGTATGCATTCCGCCACAAAGTAGCTTTTGGGTTGTTTCCATTTCTTACTCCTGTGGATAGCATTGTTATACACTTGGGTGTGCATTTAACAATCATGTCTAGTTTCTTTCTTTCTTTCTTTCTTTCTTTGGGGTTTATAATGAGATTGCTCGTTCTACGCCTTAGTTCCATGGCATTCCCCAGTCATTTGGTGGGAGTTAGAGACACGGCTGGAAGAGCCATAGGGAAGTTCCCTTCATCCTAAGCCCACACATTCATCTCCAGTCCTCAGAGCGCTTCTCATACCCCTCTTGAGCACCCCCCTGGTTCCCGCCAGGACCCGGACATCACATTTGTGTATTTTTTTTAAGTGCATGTGAATACAGAAAGGAGACATCTGGAAGGACATAGAGAGACCACACTGATAGTAATGTTTACCACCTGCCCGTGGGGAAAGGGAGGAATGGCCAGGGGAGGAACTGAGGGCTTTTATGTATAGACCATTGAATCCCTTACACCAGGAGGCTGCTGTTAAAAACGGGGGGAAAGCTTGTTTCCTAGTTTCTTGGTTTGTTTTTTGACGTCTCCAGTATATTCTAAAATCACAAACATCTCAAACTTTAGAACTTTAGTTTAATGATAAATAGACATTGGCTGGCATTATGAAATTCTGGTGAGGGCAGTGTCCTGGCAGTCTCTCCATTTTCACGGTTCCCAGCCCTTGCCTCCGGGCTGACGGGGCAACTGCAGACCCACTAAGCCAGCCAACTCCTCCACTGAGCGCTCCCCCTTGCCGTGGAATTCCTGGTGCAAGGCCACATGCTGCCGGACGCTGCGCAGTAGGCAGAGATAGGTGGCAGCTTGGAAGTGGAGTTCTTGCTGGGCTCTGCATAACTTCTCGCTGGTGACCTGGAGAAATGGCGGTCAGATAGCGTTACCAGCCCAGCCCAGCCCCCCACAGTCCTAGATGCAGCTCCATAGAAGACAATGTCTTGGTCCAGCACTCACTCGGGTTGCAGAGGAAATGTCTACACACACGTGCTCTACAGGAATGCTGAACCCCAGCCAGCCTGAGACGGGTTTTAAGAGAGGTTTCATTGACTAGAGGGGCCCCCCAGCTTTTACTACCGGAAGGGATCATCTAGATTCAACACTCACTATGTTACAAATGAGGACAGGAAAGCTGAGTGGCTTAGTGTCTGGTCAAGGAAGCACTGGGAATGACAGCGTTCTCGGCTTGTTAGTGTTCCCAAAGGGCATGTGGAACCTTCTCCCCATCAGAGAAAGGCAGGTCGTGGGGCTGTCTGCAGGGCTGGCTCATGTGGCACAGGCCTTTCCTTGCAATGAAAATTAGCTTTGGTCAACAGTAATGAACTGAAAGATTTATACATAGAAATATGCATATATTCACAAGATTTAATTCATTTGCTCTCTCACTTACCCACCCGAAAGGTCTGGATTCTGCTGACCTCACAAAACTAGAAGGTCCAAAGCCATTGCCCCAGGGGCCGCAAACCTTGCTCTCTCAGTTCTCTGAGGGTCCAGAGTACACAAACCAGCGGACGGTCCTTTATGTGACTAGTTTTGTGTTCCGAGATGGTGGACGGAGATGTGAGACCAACTCAAGTGGCTTGTGCATGTGTCCCCAGTGTGGGTAACTTCCTGGACACCACGACTGATAGCATCATCATCCTTTGACTGTGGTTTCTTAATTTGAACATTTACGTTGGAGTCTGAGAACTGGAATGTTTGGGCTAAGATATGCACATCAAGCATGAAATCACTCAGCTGAATTCAATGAAATTATCAAACCTACTTTACATACTTTTTCAGGAACTAATGTTAGGAGAATAACACCAATTTCAGGGATCGACAAAAGGTAACACTAATTTCTGTGACACAAGCCCCAGTTTGCTGGGCTGGTAATGTGAAGTGGCATGAGGCCAGAAAATAATGATCCCGGTTTGGCTGACTCTCTGAGTTGGAATAGACTCAAGGTTGTGGTTTTGATTTAAGACAGTGGGGGCAGCTTCCCCCATTATCATGATCCCAATTCTACTTTACAAAAAGAGGAGCTCATGCCCGGGGGCTTACATGGAGAGCAAATGTTTTGAGGATGATGAGGGTAACGAATGTATAAATGTGCCTTACACAATTGATGTATATGTACGGACTGTGATAAGAGTTGCATGAGCCCCCAATAAAATGATTTAAAAAAAAAAAGTGCATTCTAACTTGCCGGGCGTGCAGCTCACTGGTTTTAGATCAAAGGTCAATTTTCCTTCCCGAAGCCTGTGAAGGCCCCCTCCTGATTGGGAGTTACCAAGCGCTACCTGCGCTCTAACGTGCTCTGACACAGGCCAGTATTCGTTGGGCTTCAGTGTCCACGACTGAAAATCGAAACCCGTCCACTTTACTCTGGTCTCCGCGTGCAGAGTGTGGCGTACACAAAGGAAACGTCCTATGTTTGACCTTCGCGCGTCCGTCCACCAGACACATTTCAAGTTCACGTGTGCAGTGCACCGAGAACCAGCAGCCCACAGCGCATCGAGACGGCCGCCTCACATCCGTCTTCCGTGCCCGCTAAAAGGGCTGTCCCGGGGAGCGGCGAGCGTGGCGGGGTGCTGGCAGCGTCGGGTCGGGGCGCTGTCCGCCCTCCGCGGGCCTCTCGGCTCCGGGCCCCCAGCCCCGCTTCCGCCACTGCGCGCCCCAGGCCGCCCAGGCCCCCCGCCCGCCGCGGCTCTCCGGCCGGCCCGGGACCCTGAGCGCCCGTACCCGGTGTGCGCGGAAGGCCTTGGTCAGGTACCGGTAGGCCGCGGTGTCACGGTAGGGTCGTCCAGTGGCAGCGCTCAGGTAGCGCAGCTCCCGCAGGAGGCCCCGCAACGTGCGCACCGGGGACCCCAAGGCCGCCATTTCCCCGAGGCTGGCGACCCGAGCGCGACGCTCCTCCCCACCCACCCCTGGCCGCGCGATGGACCGGCCGACCCGGGCGCGCTCCCCCGCCTGCAGTAGAGCAGTGGATCGCCCTTCTACCTGGTCCTGGGAGCCGCCGCAGCCGAGCGCCGAGCGGCCCTCAGGGAGCTAGACGAGAGCAAACGAAAGCCGACCTGCCCTGAGCAGCATGCTCCGGCGGGCGGAGGAAGGGCGGCGGGCCTGGTCACCGCGTCGTAGGGCATCGCTGCCCACCGACCGCAGGCCAGGAGGAAGGCGAGCCCAGCCAGGGGAGGAGGGTGGGTAGGTGTGGTGTCTAATAAGCCCAGGAGGCTGATTTGGGTGGTTTTCTAGAAAGGAAATCTAAACTTAGTTTATTCTCTAACCCTTGCGGCACCTCCGGCTCATAGGGGGCAAATGGGGAGTGCGGACTCTCGCAAACCAAGCCTAACAGCTGGTAAAAGCACGCCTACAACCTCTCCTAGCAAAGTTAGTCAAGTACATGATATCTCACTATAATTGTTTAAGGAAGAAGAAAAGTAATTTTCACGCGAACAAAAGGGAAAGCACCCCAGATGGGACTCGAACCCACAATCCCTGGCTTAGGAGGCCAATGCCTTATCCATTAGGCCACTGGGGCTTCTGCGAGCGACGCCTTCTACCGACGTATTCAATGTTTTGGCTTTACGACGTCATTGGCACTGTAAAACCGACGTAACTTGTCCTAGGAAACTACGCCCCATTCCGAAGTACTGGCCGTGGCATGCCGGGATTCGTAGTCCAGAGAACAGAAGAGCCGCGCTCCCGCTCCGGAATCGTCCCCGTGACAGTCGAACCCTAGCGGGAGGGACTGCGGGCACGCGCACGCTGGCCTACGTCGTAGCCGGCGCCAGTGCGCCTGGGCAAAATCGGGCAGTGACGTCGCCGGGCGGGGCGCACAGGCTGGGTCTTCCAGAGTCGCCTTTGAGCGCCTGTTCTTTCGGATCGTCACCGGAAACAGCCGTGCTCCTTCCGGTGTTGCGACCTTTCTCGACTCCGCTTCGCGGCAGCCGGCCGTTAAGTAGCGGCCACTTTGTTTCCGGTAGAGCTTCCGAGGGCATTTCCGCAGAGATTGGAACGTGTTATGAGCGCCGACCTCCTCTTCCGAACAGTGCGGTCGCCTGGCGAGCATGGCGCGGCGGCTAGGTTGGAGCTAGTTGCTCAGAACTTCGTTAGAAATGAGTCAATTTTAGGAGTCCGTTCATCTCCTGCTTCCGTACTTTAATAGTGTAACTTGGACAGGGCACGTCTCTGAGTTTTGATCTCACTCATGAACTCACAGGGTGTCCCCAATACCCTGGCCAAAGATCAAGTTCAGACTGTCAGTGGACTCTGACCTCGGTCACCAGAAGCCACCGTTCTTTCCGCTCCCACCCTCTGTTCGGGGATTTAAACTTTGTTCCCGCCACATCTTAATGTTTGTTCCTCTACCTGACAACTGTTTCCATTAAAATTGCCCGGGTGACCCTTGGCATTTCTGTTTAGTCTGGAAGTCTGTGTCGTTTCCCTGGAACCTTGTGGTCAGACTGTATGGCAGGGGCATAGCGACTCACTTCCTCCCTGGGTTCTTCTCTCTGTACCGACCTCTCCCACCTACTTAGCTCATCACCCCCACATTATAGTCATGTGAACATGAGAGTGCGGTTTGGAGGGCCTAGGGCAGCGGTTCTCAACCTGTGGGTCGCGCGACCCCTTTGGGGGTCAAGTTCCCCTTTCACAGGGGTCGCCCAATTCATAGCAGCAGTAAAATTACAGTGATGAAGTAGCAACGGAAATGATTTTATGGTTGGGGGTCACCACGACATCAGGAACTGCATTAAGAAAGCTGAGAAAGTTGTGGTCCTTGGGTAATTGTATGTTTAGCTTTATGAAAAATGTTTTAAAAGATCACTTTGGTCCCTGTTTTGCTCAACTTGTCTAGAGGGCAGGGAGCCTGAGAACCTGGGACTCTTGACTCCACAGCTGGAGTTCTTAACCACTGCAGCTTGGTCCTTTGCAGACTAAGTCACTCTTATTTGTCCAACGGGACATGTTCTGAGAGAACGTTTCTCTGCTTTCATTTCCAAAGGATGCTGATGGCTGGGGTCTTCATCTCGGTCTCAGTCACTGCTGCTAAAAGCCAGCCTGGAACAGAGCTGGGCTCCTAGTTAGAGTGTGGTCCTCATTGTCCACAGCAAGGCGAGGAGGAACCCACTGGAACAAGATTTTCTGAAGCCTCCTGATGATCCTCCACACAGAGCCATAGGGAGTGCTCCCCACCTGGCTCCTACCGGTCCCTGAGGACTTCTCTCCTCTGGGCCACTGAAGAGAACGGCATCAGCACTTTAGAATTACCCGAGGGAACTTACATAGGCTTTGGGATGCACCCCCAGCCCAGAAATTCACATTTGGTGGTTTGGGTTGAGTCCCAGCCACAGGGTACTGTGTGGTTTGGGTCCCAGGCCCTCACCTGGTGGTGAAAAGCACCATCAAGCAGCCACAGGCCTGTTTGAGCTCCCCAGGGCATGGAAAAGTGATGTTGACTCTAGACTGTAGTCTATGAAGTGTGCAACACCATCATGGAAAAGTGTGAAATGTGAGAACGACCAAATGGGACACAGGGACACAAGCGAGCAGTCGGTTGAGAAAATGGTGCCAGTGGACCTACAGGATGCAGGGTTACCACCAAATTTCAACTTGTAAAAGTGTGCCCTAAAGCGAAGGTGTCTATTAGTTTACTGTGTGGTCAGTGTGATAAGGTTTTGTGTCACCTTGACAGGGCCAGGATGAGAGCTGGGTCAAGAACGGCTGTCTCAGCCACGGAAGCTGAAAGGCCTCAACAGTGCTCCCCATGCGTCCTTTCCTCTGTCCACGCCCTTCTCAGGGTCCAAATGGTTCAGAGAAATCTCAAAGGCAAGTTCTATGAAAAGGGACAGAAAATAGTCTTTCCTTCAAAATTCACAACTTGCCATGTTGTCTTCCCAAGCCTCTGGCCTGACTTCATTCTAGTTTCTGCCCTTCACCTGGAAGCTGATGGCTTGTCCTTGCTGCCTGACACCCCATATCAGGCATCCTCAAACTACGGCCCACGGGCCACATGCGGCCCACCGAGGACATTTATCCGGCCCGCCGGGTGTTTTTGCCCCGTTTGTTTTTTTTACTTCAAAATAAGATATGTGCAGTGTGCATAGGAATTTGTTCATAGTCTTTTTTTTTTTTTTCATAGTCTTTTTTTAAACTATAGTCCGGCCCTCCAACAGGTCTGAGGGACAGTGAACTGGCCTCGTTTAAAAAGTTTGAGGAACCCTGCCCTATATTGTTCGAGATTTTTTTTTTAACCTGTAAAAACTTATTAAACCATAAAAGTATATACATTCAAAAGTCCTGAGCCCTAGATGGGATCACACTTTAGAGTTGGTCCTGTCTTTGGTTCCTCCCCTCACACATTCCCAGGTGACACTGGATAGAACATCAGAAAGAGGAGCTAAAAAAACCACAGGTGATCACACTGTTCCAACTCCTCACACAGCTAGAAGATAGATACAGGCTCCATGACCCCCACTAGACAAATGGGCAACATAGTCATTGCTCCAGTCCCAGGAATTCTGGGAGCCCTTTAAGAGGCTGGAGGGAATTTAGAACATGAGAGTTTGGTGGCAGGAGCGATTGCTGAGCATCTTCAAGAGGTATAAAGCATATGCGAGGGTACCCCACCACCCCAAACCTGGAATTGTGCTGAGCAGAGCGAAACTTTTGTAATAGACATTTTTCCCACTAGGAAAGCATTGAGCAAGTGGCCCTGAGTTAGTGCACCCAGTGGCATCGCCTGGGAAGATTCTCTTGTCACAGTGAATTTTCTTCTAAATGCTATTTGACTCAAACCTCATTTTTTGTGATGACCAATTTAAGAGAACAGCATATAGTTGTGAAATTTTGTTTCATGCTGGGGGAAAATGCCACAGAAATTGTTGTGATGTTAAACACAGCTTACAAGGACAGCGCTATGGGACAAACTCAAGTATACACGTGGTTTTCTTGTTTTAAAAAAGGTGAAATGTCGATTGAGGACAAGCCTCTCATTTTGAACATCCGTCAACTTCCAGAACGGATGAAAATGTCGACTCACAGTGCATTTGGAATTTATTCCACCAGGTCAGACTGTTAAGCTATTTAGGGGTTCTGAAAAGATAGCGTAACCATGTGCAACAAAAAAGGCCTGATTCATGGCAGACAGGGGACTGGTTTTGCCACCACGACAACGCACCTCATGCAGCCATCTCAGTGCACCAGTTTTTGGCAATAAACAGCATGCCTCTCTTTCTCAAGGCATCTGACTCACCTCACCTCCCTCTGTATGACTTTTTGTTTCCTTGAATGAAGAGGGACATGAAAGGATAGCGATTTGATGGCATAGAAGAGGTAAAGAAAAAAAACAAGGGAGGTACTGTCAGCCACCCAAACAGATGAGTTTGAAAAATGTTTCCTAGCGTGGAATCGCAGATTTGACAAATGTATTAAGTGTAACGGAGAGTACTTTGACGGCGATAAGGTTATTTTATAAAAATATTTAAATACATAGCTTTGGAAGGAAAAAAATCCCATTTTGTGGGGGTTGCCTAATCCCATTCCAGCCCTACTGTGTCAAAGTACAGATGATGCTGGCTCATCTTGGGGGTTGTTTCTTGGTTGCACTCTCTGGTACCCCCAAAGATAGAGGGCATGACCTAGGCAAGTGACAAAGACTCAGGGCATTCAGAGAGATACACATGAACATGGAGCCTGGAACCTTACAGCAGGAGCCCAAAGGCACCCCTTCAGGAGCTCCAATAGAAGCAAGAGGGGGAGGCTGAGAAGGTGTGATGTGGACACTGCCCTGTGTCCCAAGTCAGAGCAAGTTCCACAGGTGATGCATGCCAACAGGTGATGCATGCCCCACAGGTGATGCATGCCAACAGGACATCAGTACGGCTCTCCAGCTCCTGCAA